GGGTAGCTGGGGGTTAGGGGGTTGAAGAAAAATTAATTATTATATAACCGAAAGATGGGAAAAAATCAAAATCAGTTTACGTGTTTCGGCGTTTTAAAAAAAATTAACTCATTCAAAAGATATGAATTTTAATCCGTACTTCTGGCCATCACTGTATATCGTTCAAATTTAATTGATACAGTTCATCACCAAATATTAAGGTAACCTAAAACTAATATCCAGATATTTTAAAATTTGTATGTTCCATCTAAATGTATCCTATTCCTTAAGTATATATTATCTGGTTCTTGCGTAATAAAGGTTTCAAGTTGTTTATTTGACAAAACTTTTGGCTTGTTTGGTTTATAGTTGTCACCTTGATGTTTCAGGAAAGCACGTAATTTCAAATATTTTAATATATCAATATATCAATGATCAATATCTTCCTTGGGGCTAATTGTTGCTTTCAAGATGGACCATAACGGCCTTCAACTTTGTAGATACTCGTAAATCGGAAAGGTATGCCATCATAATATTTTTGGATCTAAGGTTGTATTTTTTTTAAGTCTTTGCGGCTGCATTTTTTGTAGCTGCTACTAACTCTGGTCACATCATCACCACTGTCCGTTTTCAATATTTTTGAATATATTTTAGCACTTATAGGTATTAAAACGAATTTGACTTTTATCACAGCAATAAATAAACAATAATTGTCAAGCAAACGATTTCATAAGCAATTAGATTGTAACAAAGAAAAAAATTTGTTAGTTCATATTAATTAATTAATATTGTTTGTGATTTCAGAAAAAAAACAGCATGTAAAAGCACATTTCCAATCTCAATGCTTGCTCAATTTGCATTACCTTCTGGGAATGTTTTGTTTTTACTACTAGGTGCATAATATACTATAAGTGCCAAAAGCAACTCATCTGTCAGGTAGAAATATAAAACAGATTAATTTATAACCATAAGAAATATGATAGAAATAACGCTACAAAACATGCCTTTGTATAATTTGTATGAATGAAAAGAGGGAAAACTTTATTTCCCATTTTATGAAAAAAAAAACAAAGTTCTATTAAAAAAAGTTGTTTTAGATCAAGTATGCAAATAAGTTGCCAACATTTAAAAGGCATCCTCTACAAAGAAGTAGGAAACATAGAAGTTGAATTTATCCTTAAAACTCAATGTCATTTAATAAAAAACAACCCTTTAACAACATGTAATACGTACGTAATACATATTCGTTTTAACCGTAGATATGAAAAAATATTTAAGCTGAAATTTTTACATTTTGGTAATGTTTTTGTACGATTAAATCATTTATTGCATATTTTTCACTCTGACGTAGCAACAAATATACTTTTTTGTATATAAAGTGCCTTTTATCAAAAACCTATATAAGATAGCAAAAAAATTGATTGAGTAAACTTATTCGCAATTTAAATTAATGCCCATATCCCAAGTTTCAAGATAATTGATATAGTGACAATTTTTGATTTAATAAATCATTGTATTGTAAAATTAAAACGGATTACCACCACACCAATATAAATTGTACTTCTAAAGTATACAGCATGGATAAATTGAAAATCAAAGTAGGCCGAGTGCTTCCAAATTTGGGATACGGAAATAAATTTTAATTCTGAAAAATAAAATATTGAAAGAAAATCATACTTTTTCGTAAATTAGAGATTATTTTTTAAATAATCAGAATTGTTTCCCGAAAAGTCAGATTTCCGCGAAAGTTTTTTTGTCATTAACAACAATCGTAAAGACTATATGAGGATACACTGTACATGTTAAATGTAATACTACGTATTTAATTCTAAGGATAAACCAACTATTGTATTTTTAATTTCTCAAATTTAAATTTCTTAATAGTGTACACCTTGTATGCGTA